GGAGACATATATAACTCAGAAGCCATTACTGCTGATCCTGGAGTAGAGGATGTTCTCACATCAAGGTTAGCTTCCCCTGAAGGAATACTTGAATTTAAGATGGCCAGGGCATGTTCACCAAAACCGGAAAGCGAGAAGTCTTCATCATCCTCGTCATCAATTTCCTCAGATCGAAGCCTTTTGAGATTCGAGTCGTTTAGTCTCAAAACAGTGGAATAGGCATCATCAATTTCCTGATCGTCATAGTTTCCTTCCTCTCCCTCTTCATCAAGTTTAACACCCGTGCCATTACTAATCTCGTCTTGCTCAGTGACTGATCCCAATTCAAGACAGGCTTTTCTTCCAATGCGATCGAAATCTGCTTGAGTGAACTTGGTGCGCAATCGAGTTCGTGTGCGTGAGGACTGAATATTTCTAGGCGATGGTCGACCATGGGAACGGAAAGCAGTAGTATGTGAAGAAGGAAGGGATGTCGAAGAGTAACCATTTTGAAAAGTAGGTAATAATGAGTGATCTGGTGAAGAACTAGGAAGAAGCGATCGGCCAGCTCTCTGTTTCAATCTGGCAAAAGTTTCTATATCCTCATCGTCTGAAGCAGCAAGATCGCTTACACCGCAGCCGGAGTCATCAACAACTTCATCGCTATTTCCATCTCTTTCATCGCATGTGGAGGCGCAAAAAAGCCCATGACTATTTTCAGCATTCACCTCTGGAAGAAAATAAAGGCTAATGTAATCAAGTTCTAATTAAAGCAAACTTTGGCAGATAAGATATAACAAGCTCAAAAGCAAACCACCGGGTTTCATTTAATTATATATGAAAATAAAGAGTGAGTAGAAATAAAACATATTAGACAAAATTAAGGCATATAAGGTATGAAGACCAAGATGGTGTGGCCTTTTGTGTGGCCGCAGTCTCTTTTTGTTGTATAGAAGTTGTTTGACCTTGCTTTCGAAACTTGGTCATATTGGTAGGAAGACTTAGAGGAACACACCTAGTCCGAAATCAATTGTATGCATGATCAAATCCAAAGTCGAACCGTGGACCTGGTACATTTCCAGACGTTTTGCCGGCATCGTCAGTGAGTCTTGCCATTCTTACCACAACACTACAACTCGTCAAATAGACAAGTGAAGCTGATCCTTTGGCCAAACGTGTGCTAAACAGTTGTGATATCTCCCTTTCTGCCATGGGCTATTAATATTTCCTATATCCTCGTATCACGCCTTCACTGTTACAATTTTATGGTGCTTATTTAGATGTAGTGTAGTGTGCTCCTTTGAGCGGAATTCATAAAAACACTTCACACTCCACGATGGCGTTCCACTTCCTTCACTCTTGTGCTGAGTGTGCCATATTGTTACGCAGTCGTCCTTCCCTAGGTCTTATCACAGTATTTCACTCGACTCCTGCCACCCCATCTGTGCTACTTGAGGCGTTATTAGCCCTCCCCTGCATCTGGGTGACTAATTCGAGGCTAAAGCCTCTGATTAAGTCTCATGGTCACGCCTTTACTCCATGGACCACGTCTATGGTAAAAACAGACCTACTGTCAGCCAAATTGCTCCAGTCTCCGCCACGTCTGTCCTGTTTCTATCCCCAATACCAAGTCCATAACTTCCCATGCTCTAGTCTTTCGTGTGTCAACCCACAAATGTTGTGGTACTGCTTGCTTTGATTATGTTCAATGTTGAACCACAACGTTTGTGGGTTGGCATACAAGAGACTAGGGCATGACAAGTCATAGCCTTGGTATTAGGGATAGAAACAGGATAGATTTGGCGGAGACTGGAACTAGTTGGCTGACAGCAGGCCCGTTTAACCATAGACGTGGTACATGAAGCATAGGCTTGACGATGAGACTTACTAAAAGGTTTTAGCCTTGAATTAGTCACCCAGACGCATAGGAGGGCTAATAACGCTTCAAGTAGCACAGATGGCGTGTAAGGGGTCGAGTAAAATACGTGAACCAGGGATATAGCAGACGGATCCTACGGGGGAAAAGAGAGACCCTGATAAGACCTAGGGAAGGAGGACTGCGTAACAATATGACAGACTCTGATAAACAATTCCAGCACAAGGGTGGAAGGGGGTGAAAGCGATAGCGTGGAGTTTGGATGGTTTTTATGAATACCGCTCAAAGGAGCACACCACAATACATCTAAATAAGCACGGTAAAAATTGTAACAATGAAGGCGTGATACGAGGATATGGGAAATGTGAATAAACCATGACAGAAGGGGAGATACCACGGTAAAATTGTAAGTGAAGGCGCGATACGAGGATATAGGAAATATTAATAGCCCATGGCAGAAGGGGAAATACCACGTTAAAATTGTAAGTGAAGGCGTGATACGAAGATATAGGAAATGTGAATAGCCCATGGCAGAAAGGGAGATACCACAACTGCTTAGCACACGTTTGGTCAAAAAATCGGCTTCACTTGTCTCTTTGACGAGTTGTAGTGTGGTGGTAAGAATGGCAAGACTCACTAACTATGCCAGCGAAACGTCTGGGAAAGTACCAGGACCACGGTCAGACTTTTGAAATAATCATGCATACAATGGACTCCGGACTAGGTGCGTTCATCTAAGTCCTCCTACCAATATGACTAAGTTGCGAAAACAAGATCAAACAACTTCTATGAAAGTAAAGCATCTTCAGATATCCCAGGAGCAATATTCAGAACAAATATAAAATATATGAATAAAATGGCTTAGAGGAAAAGATGGGTTCTGAAAATTCCTGGATTTGAACATAGAGAAGAATTTGGAAACCAAAGCCAAAATTAGACTAGATATATAAAATAATGAAGAGATATCTTAGTTATTTAAGGAATCAAGCATATGGCTTATAAATACCACAATAAAGTATTTTGGAAAGACTAAAAATCATAAAGTAATAACAAGATTACGGTAAAAATTCTATATAGTAAATGCATGCTACTAGTTTAGGCTTGATTATTGGAAATCAGGTTTAGAAGCATTATAATGAAGGTCATACTAATCAAGAATTCATAACGTCGAGACTTTTAATGAGCAGGATTAAAGGTAAATTACAAGAGGATAGAAGTGACATGTCTTTGTCTCAATATTCATTATCTTAAGTATATTCCTTGCGGTTTGTATTCACTTGATATAAAAGTTTAACCACAATATAAACATTATGTTTTAAC